AATTCTACGGGATCCACTTACCTCTATTTGGGGTGTTACACGAAAGTCCTTTGTTTGATTCTCATCGAGACACCAAATATAATTTATATTAATTTATTGAAAAATGGTATATGAGCATCTCATGTTCTTAAATTAAAAAGATAAATGATTCCAATGTGTTTTAAAAGTCTAACACCAAATTGTAAATATTAAAAAATTCAAGGACTAACAATGTACTTTACCCTAATTATGATTTCTATGTATTATCCTCAATACTCGTTGATTTAGTGAAACTTACGAGACTCTTTTATTTAATATTATTTTAGTATCCTAAAGTCAAGTGTAAATGAAGAATTGATCATTTTGCTTTAATGTCAAACCAAACAGTTGATAAATTTGGTTGTCTACTTCCACAACATCCATTCCTATTTTTTTAATTACTTTTTCAAAGATCGACTTATATGTCTTCAATATTGTTTTGAAAAATAAAAACAAAAAAGAGTTTATTTATTTTGGTCAAGAGAGGGCTGAATGGGTTCGCTTAAGAAATAGATCATTTATTGATCACTGTAGTGTGTTGCTTAAGTTGCTTGGTTTTGAAGCACTTTTAACTACTCTTGTCTTCCTACAAAATTAAATAAGAAAAAGCCGTGGGAAAGCCCTAAACCCCACGAATTCAAAATATATATAATCAAAAAAATGTTTTTGTCCTTTTTATATACATTTTTAGTTGACATCTAATGCTAAAATCGTGTAGAAGTCAGAAAACAAATACAAAATTCAATTTCATAAAATTATAATATAAAACCAAAAATTAAAAATTAAAATAATAAAAAAAACTTTTAAATATATAATATATATGAATTTATCTATTTGTATTAATTGTGGAGTCAATCCATGTGACGTTTGTAGTGTACATTTAGTGCACGTTCTTCACAAAATATCATAGTCCCACACCCTTCAATGCTCCGCCGTCCACTACATTTGTTCGAGCTATTCTTTTTTTTTTTTTTGGGTTACAGATGAACCACTAGAATTAGTGAGTTGCTCTTATTTTCATCTATGTGACATCAGAGAGAAGAAGACGATGGGCTTCAACAGGAGGCTGGTGGAGTAAAATGCGTCCCAGTTACTGTCTTCTACCGATTTTGGCGAGGCTATCTGCCACAGAATTCACCGTCCGGGATATAAAGCTAACAGTTACTGTCCACTGGCGCTTCAAATAATCTCTAATTCTCCTAACGATTGTCGAGTCATGAAGGGTTAGAGGCGAGGCAAGGCATCTGACAACTTCACTATTGTCCACCTCCACGCAAAGTTGAGTGATTCCGAGAGATCAAGACCATCGAGAACACCCCAAAGTTCGGCCTGAGTGACTGAACACCGACAGTTTAAGACAAATTATTAAATATGAAAATAGTTTTAAATAAAAAATGAAATCTATTTAAATTATGAATTGTATTTTGGTTCTAACGTTCAAGAAAATGTATTATACTTATTATTTTTTTTGGATAATTAGAATTTTATTACCCAAGGAAAGCATTAACTGCTTCAAATCCAATACAATCAAACGAGCAAAAGAAAGGGGTGCCAAGTTACACAAAAAATCATATTATACCCTAAGAATTACAAAGAGATAGGCTAGTTCTTGTTGGAACCGTAGGTGGACACTCGAGTAATTTATAAAACTCGCACTATTATTAATACGAGACAAAATACGTTACAACAACGTTACCTTAATATTACAACATTACAACACTAGCTGCGGCTTGTTTACAAACACAATCTCACTATTCTAAGCTTTGCTAAGCTTTACTCAATTCTCTCATAGCTTTGCTAAGCTATTTCTCATTCTGGCTTTTCTAAGCCTTTTCTCATATTCATTCTCATTCACTTTGCATACATTTATATTAATGCTAAAGACATATATTTATAAGGGTAATTAACCTCCTTAATGAAAGATCTAGGTATTTCCAAATTCTTCTTGTATTGCGACATGAAGTTCATTGTCTTAATGAAATTCACTTCCATCATCAATTGTCACATGTTTATTTTCCATGCTTAGTTCTTAAGTAATTCAAGATCATGCTTCATTAATCAAGAATCTTCTAGAATTATCCATGCCTTGCCAACATAAGTAGTAAAATTAGATTTGAATTCTAACACTCCCCCTCAAATCTGATTTTTCATTCCGAGCTTTTCTTTGAGTCGGTTGAATATATCTGCTCTCAATGACTTTGTGAAAATGTATGCTAGTTGATCTTCAGTTATGCAGTAAATTAGCTCCACAATTTTATTCTTCACCTGCTCTCGTATAAAGTGATACTTTGTATCAATATGTGTTGATAAATCGGGCAAAGTAAATGAAAGAACACAAGAATTTTAACGAGGTTCGACAATGTGCTTACGTCCTCTCTTCGCTCACTCCGCTCCATCTCCTGTCCTCTTTACCGGTATATTTATGAGCCATGCCTTACAATATGCTTGCTTCGACTATGGGAGAATGGATTCTTGGCAAGTGCACGCTGCTGTGGCTATGTATTCTTCTTTGCTTTTTCGGCACCTCGTAGAGATTTTTGCAAACTCTTTCACGCTTGTTTTGCGGTCTTCGCATCATAAATTTTTTCAAAGGTAGATTCATCTACTCCTTGAAAAATAAAGAGCAACGCTCTTTTATCTCTTTTCCGGGATTCCTTCAATACCTTCTTTTCTTCAGTGGTCAGGATTGCTTATGCTGTTGCATTTTCAGACTCGGTGTAACCATCCTCGATGATATCCCAACAATCTTGGGAGCCTAGTAACGCCTTCATTTGAATGCTCCAATTGCAATAATTCGTCTTTGAGAATCTCGGAATTTGTGATTGAATCATGTTGGCCATCTTCTCCATCACGTTAAACTCGAACCAAGCTCTGAGGCCACTTGTTTTGGAAGCGTTGGTGGGCACTCGAGTAATTTATAAAACTCACACTATTATTAATACGAGGCAAAATACGTTACAACAATGTTACCTTAATATTACAACATTACAACATTACAACACTAGCTGCAGCTTGTTTACAAACACAACCTCGCTATTCTAAGCTTTGCTAAGCTTTGCTCAATTCTCTCGTAGTTTTGCTAAGCTATTTCTCATTCTGGCTTTTCTAAGCCTTTTCTCATATTACTTCTCATTCACTTTGCATACATTTATATTAATGCTAAAGACATATATTTATAAGGAAAATTAACCTCCTTAATGAAAGATCTAGGCATTTCCAAATTCTTCTTTTATTGCCACATGGAGTTCCTTGTCTTAATGAAATTCCCTTCCAACATCAATTGTCACATGTTTATTTTCCATACTTAGTTCTTAAGTAATTCATGATCATGCTTCATTAATCAAGAATCTTTTAGAATTGTCCATGCCTTGCCAGCATAAGTAGTAAAATTAGATTTGAATTCTAACAGTTATGTCCAATCTATTAACAACCCTATTGCTAAGTTGAATTCCTACAGTCTTCTTGATTGAGACCAGAATCTCGTCCTCGGATCTGTAGGTTCCTTGAAAAAGTCTTCGATTCCTTTCTTCCCAAATGGTATAATCGAGAGAGCACCAAGAAAGCTTCAATATACTAGTAAGCAAGGAATTTCCTTTCCATGTGTTATATGCCCAAGTAAGCAGATTAGTCCTAGTAAGAAGAGGTTTATGTATACCTGTGAGTTGAAGAATTGAATTCCAGATTGAAGCAATTGTCTTACATTCAGCAAAGAGATGGTTTCTGGATTCTCTTGCTTCAGAACAGAGGATGCACATATCATTAGTTCCAATTCCAAACCGTTGCAGCCTATCCTTTGTAGGAAGGCGATCCAAGATAATCATCCAAAAAATTAAGCGGTACTTGGGAATGTGAAATGAAAACCAAATCAGTTTATGCCATGGGACTTTACTGTTTTTCTGTCTATACTTATTATTTATTTTAATATATTATATAATTTATATTATGCCGACAGTGTTTTTGAGATATTTTCTGAAGTTAGGCCGATTAAGAATCGGATGACCTCGATTTTATGGCATGTTTTGAGCCGCTTTATTAGTACTGATTTTATGTGCTATTAAATTCACGTGGATTATTCTGAACCTTTGAGAACAATGAGTTGTCGCCATTAACAGTAGCACGTTTTAGACGTTGAAAATATAATTTTTTTTTGAGAAAGTTGAAAATAACATTGACCTAACTGTACTCACTTTTGTTGATGATTCAAAACGCTTGTTTTTTCTTTCATCTTTGGGCACAAAGAAGATGTCGAATTTCGGTTTCACCCCTTTATTATTTTTGAACTCCAGATTTAATCCCTACACTTTTTACCTTGCACACTTGGGGGTGGAATTAGATAGGAGTGTTTACTTTTCAGTTTTAATTAAACCAACCGACAAATTGAAATTTAGTTCAGTTAATCTGTTAATTCATTTGATGTTAAATCAATTAATTATTAAAAAAATCATTAAAGCCCAATTAACGGTTAATTCGATTTAAAATGATTAATTAACTGAAATAAATAATATTAAATATATATATTAAGCTCAAATCCATCAATAATTAAGACCACATCATAAGGACACTTTGATGTAATTCTTGTTAAAGAATTGCTGGTTTTCTTTCTTTCTTCGCTCAAAAGAAAAAGAACACATCGTTTTTTAATCATACTAGATCCATTAAGCTTTCATGACCCCATCGAACTTTAATCCAAATAAAAAATTCATCTATTAAATTCAAATTAATATAACTAAAAGTTTCTAAAAATATTTGGTATAGTTAATAATATATATAATTGATTCATTATCAATTAAAAATATTTCATAATGACTAACTCGATTTGATCATATTTAAATATCCTCTAAAATTAGAGGACTAAAATCATAATTCAACAAAAAGAGGATATGGAGGGAACATGGGCGTCGACAGTTGTTTCCAGTAGATTTGGTATTATATTTGTGTTGCGGGTGGGTACGTATATATTAGCTTCTAGAAACAGAGGTGGATCTCATTTCCATTGTTTTTTTTATAATACAACAGAATCAGTGGTGATAAATCTTGGAATTGTTGTTTGATTAAAGATATGAGTATTAGGAGAAGCAAAGTTGTTGATGTGTCTTCTTTCTTGCTCTTCGAGGCTACCGGCGATTCGGAATCCGTCTGTAATTTCGATGCCGCCATGGCGGATATCAACGGTGGAGAAGATGACGATGACGCTGAGTCGTGTAGCTCTGATACTGTTCTTCCTGGTGTTAGACATACTGGCAGCTTAGAAAACAAATTTGCTTATATCGGCGGTGATATTGATGATGAAGACGACGAAGATGACGATGGAGTGGTGGAGCAAAGGGAGGTCCAATTGTATAAGAAATGTTGCAGGGACGATCAACGTATTAATGGTGTTTTTGTGGCGAAAGAAAAGAAACCCTCCTCGGCTGTTCCCATCGATAATTCCAACGAAACCATGGATGAGATGGGAAAGAACAGGCTGTTTTGGGAAGCGTGTTTGGCCTCTTAGAAAATCTGGGTTCTTCTTTCTTTCCTTTTGTCCGACTCTCCTCTTTGTCCCTTCTTTATTTCTATTGTTTGAAATTGGTATACAGATGAACATGATTCTATCTATCTATAAGAAGAAAACATACAAATGAATCGATGGAAATGTAGTTTGTTTCTCTGGGAATTATTAGATTATAGATGAATGTCGTGGGTTTAGGGTTTTATAAAATTAACCTATAGAGAATCTGTCATTTTCTGAAAAAAAAGGGAAGAACAGCCATGAAAGCTTTCACGTCAAGAATCCTTGTAGCGGAAGCACCTTAGATCTGAAGTTTGGATTCTTCGAATCAAATTGTTTTACGTTGTAATCATTTCAGTTTCTAATTATTTTAAATTATTTATTTAAAGTTTAAAATGAAACAAATTAGATAAGTTTGAATTAATTCTTGTGATTAGATTGAAATGGATAAAATTTGAATTGAAGATGAAGGAATTAAATTTCCAGGTTGGAGTCTGAATTAACAATTTTTCTTTGACGTGATTGTTGATGGAAGATGCACATTATGTTTTCTTTTCCTGTCTATAGAAATAAAAAGTAGAAAGAAGTAGGCCTGTGACCGAACGCATACGAATGGAGGTGTGTTCATGTTCGTTCATTTAATAAATAAACGAACATAAACGAACAAATTTTTTTTTGTTCATGTTCGTTTATTAAGGAATATAACTTGTTCATGTTCGTTCATTTAATAAATAAATGAACATAAACAAACACGAACATAAATGAACACAAACATAAACGTTGGAGACCCTACAAACCATCGTTATTTCATGAAAAATAGTCGACAAAGCAAAAACATACCTAAATCATAAATAAGTTATATGAACATAATAAAGTCTTAAAGTTAATTTGTTCAACAAAATAATCTTCTTGAAATCCAAACAACTTCAATAATATTCGTAACATATTCAACTTGCATTCATGATCAGTCGTTAATTCATCATCCATCCTGATCAGAATCAAACAAATAAAATTATATTAAATTAAAGGAGTTATAACAAAAGATGAAAAGTATACTAAATTAGCGAGGTTATACCAATTCATTCATCCTCATTTTCAAGGAAGCTCAACATGTATGATATATTCGTTTTGCTACAACAAATAAAAAAACCAAAAATATATTAGTCATTGTAAAACCAAATTCAATAAAACTTAAAACATAAAAATACATTGTTTTTATTTTTCTCCAACCCATAGTATTGATGATACCAATCAGCTCCACAAACAAGCATATCTACCATCTTAGTTCCTAAAGAGGATATATGCGGATCAATAACCCTCCCACCAGCACTGAAAGCAGATTCAGAAGCAACGGTAGTGACCGGAATTGCCAATATATCAACATCCATTTTTGACAAAATGCTAAATTTAAGATTGTTCTCCTTGCACCATCCCAAGGCATCAAAATATACAACAGGCTCACCAATTAAAACTCCTTCCTCCAAATAAGTGTCCAATTCTAACTTGACAAATGTAAAAGTATCGACACTTCTAATATGTTGGTCATATTTAGATGTGCCAGTTTTAATACCTTTACCAAACCGACTGAATAAGGAGCTAACACTACTCTTAGAAGTACCTCAGTAGTGAAGTAGAGAAAATAACAGGAATATCAAGCCCCTTTTCGAATAGGGAGACAACAGACCTCAACCAGAAACTGGTACAGTGCAAATATAAAAGATATAAAAACATGGAACTAAAGTAAGAACTACATTCTGTCTTAATTGCGATTCATAGAGCAACCGATCCATTCAAGTGAACTCAACAAGATTGATAAAGCTCTTTGAAATTGAATGCACAATGATAGTTAAAAATAAAGAAAGGAAAACAAATCCAAGTAGGAGACAGAGTAAAGATGTAACCTTGATTTAACAGACCAAAAAACGTTGAAACCCACAAAAAAATCCCTAAATTCACACCAAAAATTAACAGACCAAAAAATTTTCAAATTATTTACCTTATGAAATCACGTTTAAGATGCCAAGATGAAGGGAAAGAGATGAAGCTCTGTCAAATCGTTGCAGTTGAAGACTTGAAGCTCTGTCGAATCGTTGCAAAAATGAAAATTGTGGAGAGTGGGGAGAGTGGAGAATCAAGAACGGCTGAATGACAGGCTGGAGAAGAGTTGAGAAAATATTTCTTTTTAGAATTAGGGTTTTTTTGTATTACCGCTTAATTGCTTATGGGTAATGACGTAAAATTGGGTTAATTATGGAGTCGGTCATCAGAATATCAGATTAATTAATATTTTTAAGATACATATAAATTGGTTACCAAAATTGATTTAAGAATATTGGGTTAAACATAAATGAACGCACATAAATGAACATAACCGAACGAACATAAACGAACATAACCGAACGTTCACGAACGTAAATGAACGAACGAGACCTATGTTCATGTTCGTTCATTTAATTAAACGAACACAAAATCTTGTTCATGTTCGTACATTTAATAAATAAACACATATAAACGAACTTCCCGCCGCACGGTTCATGAACGGTTCGCTGAACGTTCAGTTCATTTACAGGCCTAGAAAGAAGACATAATAAGTACTCAGAAAAGGTTTATTATTGAGTAAATTACATTAAATGGTCACTTAAATATTAATACACTTATGTATATAATATTAAAGTTTTAAAAAGTAGTGAAATAATCATTAATATTTTCGTTTTTGTAAATTACATAAGAACATTGATCGACTGTGCGAACACTACCTAAGAACGGGATTGTCTCAGGAAAGGCGGGTTAATATACGGCTAATATACGACATTACCGGATACATTAAAAGATATTTAATAAATTCGGTTTAGCGCTACCTATTATGTTGACAGACTAATAATGTTTTAGGTAGAAAACATGAAAAACTATTAAAAAAATTGGTAACCGGTAAACTTTGGTTATCGGTAAGTATCTATCCTTTTATAAAAGTGTCCATACTTTCAACATATTAGGTAAATTTTATCGGTTTTGTCATAATGAAACTGGTTTTATCATATTTTTACCTGTTATATTGTAAAGTATCTATCTTTTTTATAAAAGTGTCCATACTTTTTTCACTGTGGAAAACATTAATTTAAGGTTATCTTTTGAGAGAGTTTTAAGATAATAATTTAGTAATTATAGGCGTCTAATGATTTATTTTTTACGTTACGGTATATATTATTATTAAATTAAAATCAATAAACATATATATTACATATTTATTATTATCTTTGGTTAATATTGTTAATTTTAAATTCTAAATAATATTTTATAAAATATCAAAACAATCAAATAATTTTTTGTGTAAATGAAATTATTAAATTAATATTGTAGGTGGAAAACATGAAACACTATTAAAAAAATTGAAACATAAATTACATAACTTTAAAAAAAAGTATCGATCCTTTTTATAAAAAGTATGGACACTTTCAATATAATAGGTAAAAATATGATGTAATAGATAGCGCTTATATAATGTAATAGGTAGCGTTTATTTAATGTAATAGGTAGTGCTTATATTGTAAAGTATCTATCCTTTTTATAAAGTGTCCATACATTTTTCATTGTGGAAAACATTAATTTAAGGTTAGTTTTAAAATATTAATTTAGTAATTATAGGCGTCTAATGATTTATTTTTTACGTTACGATATATATTATTATTAAATTAAAAACAATAAACATATATATTAAATATTTATTATTATCTTTGGTTAATATTGTTAAATTTAAATTCTAAATAATATTTTTAAAATATCAAAACAATCAAATAATTTTTTGTGTAAATGAAATTATTAAATTAATATTGTAGGTAGAAAACATGAAACACTATTAAAAAAATTGAAACATAAATTACATAACTTTAAAAAAAGTATCGATCCTTTTTATAAAAAGTATGGACACTTTCAATATAATAGGTAAAAATATGATGTAATAGGTAGCGCTTATATAATGTAATAGGTAGCGTTTATATAATGTAATAGGTAGTGCTTATATTGTAAAGTATCTATCCTTTTTATAAAAGTGTCCATACTTTTTTCACTGTAGAAAACATTAATTTAAGGTTAGTTTTAAGATATTAATTTAGTAATTAAAGGCGTCTAATGATTTATTTTTTACGTTACGGTATATATTATTATTAAATCAAAAACAATTAACATATATATTACATATTTATTATTATCTTTGGTTCATATTGTTAAATTTAAATTCTAAATAATATTTTATAAAATATCAAAACAATCAAAATTTTTTTTGTGTAAATGAAATTATTAAATTAATATTGTAGGAGAAAAACATGAAACACTATTAAAAAATTGAAACATAAATTACATAACTTTAAAAAAAGTATCAATCCTTTTTATAAAAAGTATGGACACTTTCAATATAATAGGTAAAAATATGATGTAATAGGTAGCGCTTATATAATGTAATAGGTAGCGTTTATATAATGTAATAGGTAGTGCTTATATTGTAAAATATCTATCATTTTTATAAAAGTGTCCATACTTTTTTAACTGTGGAAAACATTAATTTAAAGTTAGTTTTAAGATATTAATTTAGTAATTATAGGCGTCTAATGATTTATTTTTTACGTTACGGTATATATTATTATTAAATTAAAAACAATAAACATATATATTACATATTTATTATTATCTTTGGTTAATATTGTTAAATTTAAATTCTAAATAATATTTTATAAAATATCAAAAGAATGAAATAATGTTTTTTGTGTAAATGAAATTATTAAATTAATATTGTAGGTGGAAAACATGAAACACTATTAAAAAATTGAAACATAAATTACATAACTTTAAAAAAAGTATCGATCCTTTTTATAAAAAGTATGGACACTTTCAATATAATAGGTAAAAATATGATGTAATAGGTAGCGCTTATATAATGTAATAGGTAGCGTTTATATAATGTAATAGGTAGTGCTTATATTGTAAAGTATCTATCCTTTTTATAAAGTGTCCATACTTTTTTCATTGTGGAAAACATTAATTTAAGGTTAGTTTTAAAATATTAATTTAGTAATTATAGGCGTCTAATGATTTATTTTTTACGTTACGATATATATTATTATTAAATTAAAAACAATAAACATATATATTAAATATTTATTATTATCTTTGGTTAATATTGTTAAATTTAAATTCTAAATAATATTTTTAAAATATCAAAACAATCAAATAATTTTTTGTGTAAATGAAATTATTAAATTAATATTGTAGGTAGAAAACATGAAACACTATTA